GCCGGCAGGACACCTAAGAGCCGAGTTGGATTTCAAATTAGTTCGCCTTGCTTCGCACCCAGAAAGGAAGCCCTGCCTCGCCCCTTCTGGGTGGATTGTGGGGTGCTTGGCTCACCGAGTTACCCATCAGCCGAGAAGAAGACAAAGGCGCGGCACTGGGTGAATCTGCCATTCGCCGAAACCGACCCATATATCTCTGGAGCGCATTTTTGATGTATCTTTTGACGGGAAATGTTGACAAGATCAAGGCCATTGTTTTGAAGGTATTTAAGCAACATTTCTGGGGTCTGCGTGTGAGACAAGGTGAGGTTTTTCATGGCAAATTCAGATTTCTGGAGTTGAGGTCTGTGGGGAGAGCACCTCGTTTTGTTTTGAATGCGAGCAAGGGATGTGATGCTGTCAGGTGACACAGAGGATCCTGAACAAATGTGAGGGGCGTCTTGCATGAAACAGGACTACACCCTAAATCTGTTGACCCAAAACACCAAAATCAAAACCCTGAACCTGATGACCCTAAGGGAAGCTAAACCCGCAAGCGTAAGGACATGTAAGGACCCTAAATCCTAAACCGCAAGCCAAACCCTAAACCGTGGGAAAGCCTAAATCCCAAACTGTGATGACCTTAAATCTCAAACCCTAAACCAAAACCGAAACCCTAAACCGTCTTGACCCTAAACGAAAAACCCTGAACCAAAACCTAAACCGTCTTGACCCTCAAGGCAAATTCTAAACCAAAACCCAAACCCTAAACCGTCTTGACCCTAAACGCAACACCCTAAACCAATACCTAAACCCTAAACTGTCTTAACCCTACACGCAAAACCCTAAACCAAAACCTGAACCCATGAACGAGCCCCCCAGAGGTGGCTTGCTGCATGCCCACTGACCCCACATTACACAACTCCGAGAAGGCCATGTCTTCGAAAGTGAGGTTCTGGCTGTATGTTCGAAAACGAGTCTTGTTCACGTGTTCGGAAATGAGCAAAAACTGGTGTTCGAAATTGACCCTCTTGTTTGAAGCAGCCCGCCTTCATGACCCGTGGGGCCCCAATTAGACAATCCCCAAGGGGTCCCTCTCTTGCATAAGGGGACGATCAAAAGGACATGTTCTGGACATGCTGCAGATAAACATAGAACCCAACAAACCATCATTGTCAGAGGAGTCTCCTTGGGGTCGTTCCGTGTTCATCTGGGTTGGGATGGATGAAGTCTGCTGAATACTGGGATGAACCACCTACCAGCTGAAGCGAAGCGTTTGTTTCCATCCAACGTATTCCAGAATGTCGAGGACTCACTAAACTACCTACAACCAGGGACTCACTATATAGCTTTCCCATGTGCTTTGTGGGACACATGTTTTGGACATAGCGCTGAGGTTTAACCCCTACACTAACACCCCTCAAAGGGATTGGGTGAGAGTAGATGGCAGAATTCTTTATGGCCATTTGGTAGCGGATCTTTGGACTTAACTTTTTGGTTGAAACAGTGGACTTTCTCCATTGGACCCACAAAAAGTGTTCAAATTCTTGCAGAGGGGTCGTTGCAACCAAGAAATTGTCCCCATGGGGTCGTTGGTTTTGCCCATTTCCTTTTCCCAGCGGTTTAACCCAGGCGAGGCGGAGTACCGCGCGGAGGCGGGGATTCTCACAAAGGGAGGCGCGGGTTTGCAGGAAAAATAAGATAATGTACTCTCAAAAACCAAATTGGATCAAATTTGCAAAAGAAGATGAAGCTATAAGAAAAAACAATTATCAGAAGAAGAGCAAGAATACCAAGATCAGCAAGATACAGTAAATGAGAAAGAACCAAGTGGATGTATCAAGGTCTCCACGGTCTCCTGGGCAAAGGGAAACGAAAAGGGCACCTTTCGAGAAATTTCCACATGGGGTCAAAGAACCTGTTTGTGGGGGTGCTTTGGTCAAGCATGCGGAAATTTACTGTGGGTTTGGCTGTTTTCGAGGGCACCCTTTCGGGGTGATTTGGAAGGGAAACCAACATGAGAACCACCCATTTTCGGAGTCCATTTAGACACACACACACACGCACGCACATGTAGACAATCATGCACATTCCAATCCAGCGAAACGCCAGAGTGCAAGCAGTTGGGGCAAGTCTTGTCTAAAGAACCAGACCCCAGGTCCCGCAAAGAAGCGCCAGGGAACCCCAAAGAAGGTTGTTTGAATAGTTTGGTGGTTGAAATTGTCATCAAGAAGCAAGGGGCGATGCAAGCTAAAGGTCGAGCCGTCAAACCTGGAAAGGCTTCGCACGATGCGGTACCCGATTGGATGAATTCGGCAGTGGAACAACTTGACGAGAAGTTTAAACGAGGTGAAGACCTGTTCTAGAAAGCCTCATATTGAATCAAGCTCCACATGCCTTTTTTGCACCTGCGAAGCTGCGCAAAACGCGCTGCATCTGAGGTTGCAAAGGCAGCCATTGAGAAGAACCGCCAGTTTTCTCTTGGACACATTTGTGAGCATAGGGCTTCAGGGCAATTCATGGCTTCAGATGCGGCTGCAGCTGTTCAGCTTGTGATGGCCAGTTCTGGCTCTCAGCGCTGAGTTATTGTGTCAAGAAGGAAGCTGGAAAATCTGGCAAAGTCTCGAAAACAAGCAATGCTTGGATGCCTTGATCCTCCTCCGGATATTTTGGCAGAATTCACACCTAAACTTTGTGTCTGCAGAGGGTACCCCCTGCAAAAACATGGAGACTTGTTTCTCCTACATGGGGGTTGATCAAAAGGTCCTGTACATGAGGTGACCATTAGGGAAACCACCAGAAGAGATGATATTGCCCACACGGGAAACAATACCAATGGTCATTTGGGGGCCAGGAAAATCGATCAACCTCCACATGGGACAAGTGAGCCTTTGGGACCAATGGTACGGATCGACAGCCCGCCAGGTGAACCGCTTCCGCATCGCGCGGCAGCGGGCAGGGCTGCTGTCGGGGGCCTCAAGAGGTTGTCAGTCCTTTGTTCTATGTCTACCAGCTGGTGGCTGGAAGGGAGCGGTTCAGGGGCTATCCAAATTTCTTGTTCAAAAGGGAGTTCAGGAGCTACCAGGAGTGTGAGAGACACGGTAAGTATATCTATGTCGAGCGATTCCACCGATGGGGGATAAGCGATCGAATACCCATGATGTATATAAGGGTTTGGAAGTATCTTGGGTGCCAACTAGCCCACAATTTTGAAAGCTCTCAAAAGGAAAGCGAAAGGGGATAGCTTTTTTCCTTGCCAGACCCCGTATTCAACACTCAGTGGTTTCAGGTTTGGGCATCCTCTTAAAACGGGCCCGAGGGGTTCTCATTAGTATTGTTTTTTTGCGTTTGACTACTTTTGGCCATAGGGGTAACTCACCTGTTGAGTTAGAAAGCTTGTTTTGTTGGCTGCTTTCTTTCTTGTGTTTGCTCGAACTCCAGATCGGAACACACAGAGAGGTTCCTTGTGGTTTCACGTTAAGACAACCTAAAAAGGGTACCCTCAACAAAAACACCGATTTGAGTAAAGTGAACCACACAGCTCAAGTGTCTTGCTGGTTTTCAGCAGACAATGAGAAATGCAATGCCCCCTATGAACAATCCAGTTCCTATGGTTTCCTTTCAGGGAATTTCCAAATCCGGTTCATTCAACCAATACTCGGACTCGGAAATTCATTCCCTACCTATGGCAGCAAGGTGTTTTCTGGCCGGATGGTCAAGTCATTGAGTGCTGCCTGTTTCCTTTTCCCGAAAGAGGCACACGAGCGAAGCAACTGACACCACACCTCAGGGGCAAGGTGTGTATCCTTCTTTTGGTTGGAACCCCCAGTTTCGGTGGGAAACCAGAAGGACACCGTTGCCGCTGTGGAGGCTCCCCAACTTGGAGACAAACCCTTGTGAGTTGCTATAGTTCTACCGTTGGAGAGACATCCACCCCACCTTCCGCCGGCTTGACATGGACCTCAAAATGGGGCGAGCTCCTTTCCGCAATTCACATTGAACCCAGCAGGGATCCGTTCCTCAAAGTCTTGTTTTTTTGGCTCTCCGGGCATCCCAGCAATCACATGGATCTCAGACTGAACATCGTCCTCAAGTTCAGTTAATCGATTTTTGCAGCTAGCTCTTGGCAGCTTCACAATCGATCGGATACTTTTTTCATTTTCGGGGAAGGCCAAGCTTTCTCCGCAGGATCCGGCCCCGGGCTGTGGGGGACACCTCGGAGGAGGTGTGAGCGGTGAGCGAGGGTTTGGTTGCTGTTTGGTTGGTTGTTGGTTGGTTGGTGTAAGAATCGGATTGAAACGGCAGTTGGTGTGGTGTCAGAATTGGTTGGAAAAGGCAAACTTAGGAGTTTTTGGCCTTTTGGGGCAAGCAACCCCATTCCCAGGATCGGGTTTTCATTGAGTTGGATTCATTGAAGTCCCGACTCAAAGGGGTCTCCATCCTGGGGCCTGACTGCGTTTGACCTCTGTGACCAGACCCATGTGCGCGGGAGCATACGCGTACCTGGTCGTGTTGGTTCGAGCAAAGTGGAGAGTGCGCGTCGGTTGCACTTGAACCCTGGCTCCATTTCGCAAAATCTAAACCGAGGGATCCTCAAGTATGCCCGGAAGCGCTTGTATTGAAACACTATGCCAACAAGATTGAGTGTCATCACACAACTCTTTTGATGAAGAGGCACATGAATGTTGCCCTCCCACACATGCAGATCCCAGATGTAAGTAGAACCTTCTGGATGAATACGAGGGCTTTCCCCCCAAAAGTGAAGGAACTCCGTTTAAATGGGACAACAAGGTAAGGTTGCATCAAAGAAACCCATCAGATCAATTGGAAGGGTGCTCCCCCAACAGTGATTTAACACCATACTCAAGTGGTGTGTGTGTGTGTGTGTGTGTGTGTTTTTGAGCAAGCTCCATTTGGCTGATCCCTTTATCAATACAAAGCCCATTTGGCTCCCCGCAAGAGGAGAGGGGTTTGTGAATCCTGGCTAGGGATTCGCGCAGCCAAGCAGTCCGACCACGCTATTCACATTTCAGAGAGGTTGGGGCTGAGAACCTTTTGAGAAGGTTCTAACTATGTTTGGAGTGCCTTTGGTTTCGTCCCTTTGCATCTTGAATTGCCCGTTCATCATTTCGGAAAAGGCAAGTGAAGCAATATGGGCCTTGCCTTGAAATAGGATACGGAACCAGTTTCGTTTGGTTTCCCTTTAAACGACAAAAACGGGAACCAGAATACGTCTGTTTCAAGGTCAACCAACCAACTTATGGTTGCCCAAGCGGTTTTCAGGAGTTCTCGATTTTGAGCCAAACTCCAACTGTCGTCTCAGGAGAGTGGCTCAACACAAGGGGGTTGCCACCGATTTCACCCATGAACTTTCCTTTCTTTGCCCTTTCTTGAGCTCCGCAACGGTTTCCTTCCAACCACCAGCTAGTTCAAGCTACATTTTCCGACCAGGGCTGCCAATTCGTGCCGCAGAGCAGCGATATTGCGCCTCGGTTTCCGCGCGAGATCCGCCGTTCGGGACGGATCTGAGCGAAACCCTTGAGGCCTCAATCTCAAGGCGGCAGCCCCTTTGTGGGTTATGAATTTGCAGCTTGGATCCCTTCCAAACTGGTGGTTTTCTTTGAGGTCTGGTGGCAAAGGGCAAGGTGTTTTTTCTTGGTAATGCTGTATTTTTAAGGGCTTGCAGGGATCAAACCCTTAGTGTGAGCTTCGGATTAGTCCGCAGGACCCTAGCAGTCAAAGGATCATTTCCTTACTGACCCCTTGACTAGTAAAGTTCTCCGGGCGGGGGGAAAGTATCTGGCGCCATTTCCATAGAGAGTACAAAGCCTAGCTTGCGCCCCATTCCTGTATCTGCTTCACCCTTTAGATGGGTGAAAGTTAAACCCCAAGTGGGTTGAAGTTGCGCCTCTCTCCCAAACCCCCTCGCAGAATCTAGCCTGCAGGGGCGCTGGCGGTTTGCATCGTGAGTGCAAAAGGACCAGTTTTAGTATGCCACCAATCGTGGGACTGTTGAGCGTTTCACTCAAGCTCCTGCTCCCTCGGTTCACTCTCGAAAACCCCATGCGCACCCAATGGAGGAAGGCCATCCCCTGAACATCCGAACAACTGTTTGACGGATGGCTAAAAGGATTGGACTGGATTGGATTGATTGTTTTGATTGGATTGATTGGACTGCTTGGATTGGATCGGATTGGATGAGATTCGATTAGATTGGATTGGATTGGGTTGGATTGGATTGATTGTTTTGATTGGATTGATTGGATGGATCGGACGGATCGGATTGGATGGCATTGGATTTGATTGGATGATCGATCGATCGACCGATCGATCGATTGTTCGCTTGTTCTGGTGTTTGTTAGGCTTGTTTAGTTTCTTTGGTGACGTTTGGTTTGTTGAGTTTGGGGTTTCGCATTTCCCTTCGCGCTGGTCAGGATTCCAAGAGTTTTGCCTTCTTGGCGTTGGAATGCCACGAAACGCGGCATGTGTCAACCTACGAGACCCCATATTCATCAAAGCTGCCCCCAAAAGCCCAACACCCTTCTGAGACATATGTGCCCTAGGGAAACTAGACAACAACTGCTACGGGTTTCTACTAGGTTTCTAAGGGAAACGAGAGAGTTTGGGAGGTGTCCAAGTCAACCGGATCAGGAGTTCCCAGTCCTCTTCGCATTTTGGGGCGTTCGTTTTTTTTTGGTGGCCTTTTGCCGCTAAGGGACACCAGGAGAAAGCCATTTTGAAGGCCCAGCTACTGCAGGACCACGTGCAAAAGCGAGGCATTCGGGGTAGGACCCTCGCTTGCCGAGGTGCCGCCTCTTCCCAAGGCGGCGGTGTGTCGGTCTGTGGCTTCAAGACTTCCATTGGCTGAAATGAAGATTTGGCCGTTTTGGTACTTGACCCATGGCCATTTGGTTTGACCCATCCCAACTGGTAGGCTTTGGGGTTTTGTCAATGGTTTTGCAGGTGGCTCAAGCGCTATTTTAACACCTGGTGGTTTTACAGGGAATCGACATTTCACCGTGGGACATATTTGTTGGTCTGATTTTTTTCCAGGGAGCATTTGGAGAGGAAGAATGACCCAAGCCAGCAGCACCCTTTCCCTTTTCTTGGACCCCGAGAAAACCATCAACCGGTGGTTTCCTTTAAGGGAATCCCTAGGTTCTTTTCCAATCCCTAGGTCATTCCCATCCCTTATGGTTTTCTTTAAGGGAATTCCCAAAACCGGTTCATTCCCAGCACCCGGAGGGTCATTCCCCACCTATCGCACCAGCACTTTTTCCCTCTTCTGGCAGGTTCCCGAAAAGCTCTGGTCAACCCAGAAGTCAGCAGGGTTCCATTTGTCTAGGTCGCGCAGGGTACAAGTCAGAGGGTGTTGGATCTGCCATGGCGGGCACATGGAGCCATCCTGGCGAAAAGCACGGCTTGGCCCAAGGTTTAGCCACTGCTCCACAAAGCGGCTTCTTCAACTTGAATTTGAGCGAACCGCGCTGACTTGGTTTGCGGACGTACGCTTGTCAGTGAGGAAATGATGACACGAATCCCAAGGGGCACATGTTGGACATGTTCACATTTTGGGAGCCCACTTTTTAAAGTTCATCGCCAGGTTTTCGCGTTTTCGTTTTTGTCCAAAGAGGTGATGCAGGGTTTTCCTTATCACAATTATCCAAGAGGCTGGAAGTCTATGGTGTAAAGGTGGGATTCACCAGAGAAAGGCTTAGGTTTCGGCAGCCGGGGAATATCTGCGAAGAGCGACAAAGCAGTCAGGACCGGAAGTCGCGTTGATGTGCAGGGTGCTGGTCGATTTCAAAGCTTCAACCCCTTCATGTCAAAATAGGGCACCCCCCTAAATGTTGGATTCCCTTCAAGCCCAAAAAAGTTTCACCAGCGACAAAAACCGTGCACGCACAGTGATTTGGCTGTGAATTTTAGTGGGGAACCCCCTAAAAAGTGATTGGTGGACAGAAATCCCCACCTAAATGATGTCCACCAAAGGGTCCCTAATTAAGATTCATTCCCATTTGTCAACCGGACCCTCTGAGTTCAGTGCAGGTGATCCTGAGCATGCTTATGGAAGCCTGCCATTTGCCGATGGGCCAGAAGTGGGGCTACCACGAGCGCGCTCGGTGGCCCAGTTTTGCAGGCGCCATTTTTGTCTCCGAGTGGGTGCCCTTTCCCAGGTTGCAGAGAAACCACACAAAATGCAAAAGCTAATGTTTTGTTGGGTCCAAATGCTTGGTTTGACACATACCCAAGTGCACAAACCGAGAGGTTGGGTTCAGGAAGCCGGTTGTTTGGAGTCCAAGCACGTGTGAGCAAAGCGTCGCTACAAGCTGTGACTATGTCACCTCAAAATGACCTTGAGATGCTTTGGGTTGACTGCTGGGACCAGCCCGGAAACAACCCCTTTAACGGGCTCGCTCGCAGAAGTGGGCGCCGATTGCGGGAGCACAAGCCACGAAGAACAGACATTGTCACTTTCCGCTGGGGTTCCTAAACTTCCTGAAGTCAGAGCATCCCCGTGGTCGACCTATTCCCCGTGCTGTGGTGTGTTGCAATTAAGGGGGATAACCATGTAATGTTGACCTTGTATTAATGGGTCCCATTTAGAGGCGAACCTTTGCGTTTGGAGCTGCTTTGTTTGATCCTTGTTGACTCTTATCTTTCAGGACGCCCCCTCCGTTCCAGTCAGCTTCCATGGCAGGAGGGTCTCAATTTGCAGTGGCTCTATGTGCCACGCCACATCTGATGGGCTTTGGTTGGCGGGGTCCGGACTTTTAACCAGGCAGACTAAGAAAACCAGCGCCGCAGTCAAACAGCCCTATTTGCAGACGTGTCCTTTTTATATGGATAAGCCCGGCTCTAGTTTAATTCCCATCATTTGCCATTAAGAAGGACTGGCCTGTTTGGGTAACAGGCCACTGTCAGGTGCTCACCATCATCTCCTCCATTTGTGCAGTGGGGGGGCCTGACTCGGAAGCGACGACGTTTCTGGGGCGTGAGTTTCGCGAAACACGCCGCAAGGCTCCCCCTTTGAAGGGAACATGCTAAGACAACCACTCGTGAAGGATTCCTCCCTTCTTTTTCCAGATCGAGGTGTCCAGCTAAAATCCAATGATACAGCGACCAGAGCGAAATACCGCCGGTATGCCGGCAGTCAAAGATTCGGTTCCCGCGGGAAAGCAAAATTCCCATTGAACAAGCTGGTATTTGTTCAAGCAACCTCCGTTTGGCCCCAGGACACGCCCGGCGGTCTCCCAAACCCCAAGAGGAGCTTCCCTTAAAAGTTTGGTTTTTCGGGTTCCGCGTCCCTTTGGGGAGGGTTTTCAAACGAAGGTTCGCGGCGGACGGCCTAGCTGCCGGAACTCCCTCCGCTTTGGTTGGGAGGTAGGCTTGCTGTCATTCGCCCTGCACCACCATCAGACAGTGGCCTTCCAGATTTTGCAGATTCCCTCAACGGTTACTCGAGCAGCTACTTTTGTGCTCTGTGATTCCTTGACGTGAGGGCACCGATCCGGCACTCCGTGAGGGAATTTCTGCGCCAGTCCCAGCACTCAAGTTGGAAAAGACCACCGCGAAGCGACTTGAGACAGATTTATGTATCTACCAGCCTGCAAGGTTTAATGGTCTCGTGCATTGGCGTGTTGAGTTTTCAGTGGGGCCGTGCTCGAACAAGCACTTCCAATGAGTGTGCCCTCCCCTGCGCCCTCACTTTCTCAAATTCCCGAAATTGGGAGATGCGGGTACCCTCTTTTTTTGCTATGTTTGGTAACCCTTGGTTCCTTGGTTTGGATTGGTGGCTTGGGGATTTGAACCCCTGGAAATGAGAAACCAGCCCTGACATCCAAGCCACCAATCCGAACCGATTGGAGGGAAGCTGTTGAGAGTACTGATTGGGGACTGACTTTGATTGAATAGTACTGTTGTTCAACCAACCTCCTTTTGGGTTCCCTTTGAAGTGGAACGGGCGGTTGTCTGACAAGCATCCTGGTCCGTACCTGATCTTGAGACTTCGATAAGCGGCCAGGATCATTTGGAAGAGGATGTGGGGTAGATTTTCCAAAAAATATTGAGGCAATTGGGGTCAGTCAGTCAGGGATGCTCCGAACCTCAAAGCGATGACCACGCAAGCGTTGACAAATGGTATTGGGTCCTCTGTTTTTTCTCCTGGGGCCAGCTTTTTTTCTCCCCTTGTGACATCTTTCGAAGCCTCAGAAGAAACGAGCGCATGATTTCCAAAGGTGCTAGAAACAACAAAACTAGTTGAACAACATCATGTTCGTTTCCCCTCGCGGGGTGTTCGGGTTTGTCTGGCAATGGTAAACCCCTTTGGGCTTTCCTTTGAATCAACTGCAAAAATGGCACGCTGAGTTGAGAGCTCGTGACGTGAAATGGGACCCTAAACGTCTCGTCACTTCCGCCTGCCCCGCTCCCTGGCCTCTGCGATCGAGTCAATCGACGAACAAGATGAAGACCCCCCCCCACCCCGCCCCTCAGATGGTTTCAACAGTGACCCGGTGGATTACCGTTCCAAAAGCAGGATCCTCCCTAAACTAGGACACCCCCTTTTTGATTCACCGTGGATGTATTATATAATCCAGGGTCAACTGGGGCAACATAACACGGAGGGAAAAGGAAACCACCCATTTGAGCGGCGCACTTGGAGAAACACCGCACATGCCAGATCCTTCAAGGTCCGGGTGGAAGCGCTCTCGGGAACATTTGGTTGGGTCCTTGCGAATGCGTCAGTGAGCTTTAAGCTTCATTGCGCTCGCGACTGCAATGGAAACTCACCCTGGATCCAAAACATCTGGCGGGCTGAATAGGGAGGCTCCGGAGGGTGCCTCCTCACCGTGAGATTTAACGGGACACCCCCATGAATGAACCAGGGACTTCATCCTGTGCCAAGCATCAGGATGCGCTAGACCAGCTGACCCACCTCTCCGGGCTCATCATGCGGCCGGTGTCGCTGGCGTACTATCAGCACCTCGCCTCGTTTTGTTTGTTTGGGGGGGAACATTGGGCTGGCACAACCCTGGATGGGAAGGCAAACAATGGACACTTAGAGTATATATATGTATATAGTAGTAGTAGTAGTAGTAGTAGTAGTAGTAGTAGTAGTAGTAGTAGTAGTAGTAGTAGTAGTAGTAGTAGTAGTAGTAGTAGCAGCAGCAGCAGCAGCAGCAGCAGCAGCAGCAGCAGCAGTAGTAGTAGTAGTAGTAGTAGTAGTAGTAGTAGTAGTAGTGGTCGTAGTAGTAGTAGCAGCAGCAGCAGCAGCAGGAGCAGTAGTAGTAGTAGTAGTAGTAGTAGTAGTAGTAGTAGTAGTAGTAGTAGTAGTAGTAGTAGTAGTAGTAGTAGTAGTAGTAGTAGTAGTGGTCGTAGTAGTATTAGTAGTAGTAGCAGCAGCAGCAGCAGGAGTAGCAGGAGTAGTAGTAGTAGTAGTAGCAGTAGTAGTAGTAGTGGTGGTAGTAGTAGTAGTAGTAGTAGTAGTAGTAGTAGTAGTGGTAGTAGTAGTAGCCAAGAACCCCAACAAACGTTGACGCTGTTCCTTAATGCTCAGTTCGGGAGTCTCGAGGTTTGGTTTTGAGGTTTGATCTTGCAGAGAAGGGCGAGACGAGACTTGGCTTCTTTGACCTTTTTTCCGATCCAGGTGGCCCTTTCGCGTCACTGGTTGCACCTGGCAGGTTTTCAGATGTGCCTTGCGGTGGAACCCGGCGGCGTAAGTCGGAGATGGGTGTGATTGACACTTCTTTTTGGTTGCTGTTAAGGGGAGCCAGAGTCAAACCGGTTGTTTTGTACCCCCCCCTTTTGACAAACCCCCATATGTGGTTGGAGCTCCCCGAGAAATTTGGGGGGCGCAGTGCAGTCCTTTTTCGGCGTCTTGCCCCCTTTTGGTTGCGTTTTAGAGGGAAACGCACGTAACACCGCGGATGTTGTTTGTTTTTGGCAGGCATTTTCCCCGAACTGTTGAGACCAACCCAGATCCCAACTGCCAAATGAGTTTTAAACACTAGGAACGGAGTTTTTGTTCTTCCGGCTTTTTTTGGCCGTTCCTTCAACGCCACGCAGTCAGAGGGTTGCCCTATTTAATTGGGGACGCCAAAATTAACCGCTCTGACCATTGAAGTTTGCAGAGGGTTTGGCAGGGCCTCCTAGCATGCCTGTTCCTTTTGGGAGCGTGGGAACATGTATAAGCCAGTTGAACAGCCCAGGATGGCCCGCACACAACCCTGTCTCCGAGTGCGAAAGGAGTTCCTTTCTAAATTCTTAGAGGGTATGTCTAGCACAACCTGGCATTGCACCCACCTGGACATCACCCGATTCTGAACTAGTTCCGCACAACACTTCATCATTTTGGACCGGTGCAATCCCAAGGCCTGATATATAGAAGCACCGTTAGACAAATACGGTCATGGATGCCTCTTGGATGTACCACCCGCAGAAGGATATCTATTGAAAGTCCGATGCACGTAGATGAACTCATGAGAATCCATGTGGGCGTGTCTTTTCTTGAAGGTGCCTTCTTTTTTGTGGTTTCAAAGGGAAACCAGATGGGACCTATTTTGACATATACCTACGTGCATGATTCATCCATGGATCAAGGGTTCATGGGAAGGGTTCACATAGGGAGGTATACATTCGGCCTTTGTCAAGAGGAGTTTTGCCCCGAAGCCAAGCCGCTGGCGAACTAGAACTTTGTTGAGGGAGGCCGATCATCGGTTGCAGGAAATCAGGACATCAGGAGAGACGCTGCGGGAAATCGCCTCTTCCACGCCAAAAAGATAGGTATTTGTTGTACCGCCGGTTATTGTGTTTGTCATGCTCTTCGGGGTAAATCCCAACCTATGGCAACCCAAGGGAAACATGTGGCAACCGTTTTCCTCTGCAGAATTGATGAGTCCCAAAACTGCCAGGGTTTCTGGAGCCTTGGTGGGGTGATCGGAGCAACACTGATATGGGCGAGCTTCTTGTGAGGGTATATACTCTTTTTGGGGGCCCCGCTTGAAAGGGAACCAACAGCACAACCACCATTGTATTTTGTACCCCCAGAACAGGATCCACCCCCCTCTCTTGATCTCCAAAACCGGCCTCAAGGCCTCCAGCCGGGTAGGGTGGGGCGGCTGCAAGACCTCTCGCTGCAAGGGACCGGACCTGAAAGTCCTTGGCTTCCCAAAGGAATGGGTCGCTATGGCAACGATAAACTAGGGCCCCCAGCTAGGTGCCAACTGTTACCGTTTCTTTTTTTGGGGGAGGGTTCCCCTACTAAAATAGACTACAGCAAAAAGGGTACCCTTATTCTGACCTCTCTACTGGAGGACCTAGCTAATCCATCCCAAAAGGGGTCGACCATTTTGAGACGCCAAATGATCGAGGCACTGCCGGGTCATCGTGGCCGCCTGGCAAATGCAATGGGAGAGGCGATGAGTTTCGAGTTTTTGGGGAAGAATTTGGCCATCAACATATGGCAAAAGTCAGTGTTTTTTAGTCTTTCTGATACCAAGGAACGTCCCCCTAAATGAACAAGTTGGAGATGTTCCTTGACTTTGATAAGCCTCAGTTGGTCTGGATTGGTGGTTGGGGGATTTGTCAGTTCCAGGCTTGTTTGAGGGAGGGTACCCACAAGCGCGTGGGGGTTCAAAAAGGGCAAGGTTTCAATGGTGAACCGCTCTGCAGCTTCATATTCATTCCTTTTGACGAGGCATCGCGCGATGTCGTGGTCAGAATCCCCTCATGAATTGGAGGTGAGCTCATCTTCAAATGGGGGTGCCTCCAAAATGACCTGCCTTTGGTTGTCACCCTGGGAAAAACATCAAGAAGGATAGCCTCAAGAAACACTACGCACAGGGCAAAAGCAAAGGGCTCATAGTGGGGGTGGTGAATTCTGCGGACCCGAAGCATGGCACCTGTATCGTACTCCTTGGCTCACATCTGGGGTACACAACAAATACGTTCAGATTCTGGCCCATACGGGTGCGTCCTTTTTTCAGGGTGCCCCTTGTGGGTTCGGTCTAAAGGACATCCGAAAGGAAACCGCTCACTCTTGGGGTTGCCCTGTTTTGAGACAAACCCATATTTTCAGCTTCCCTCAGTTTGGTGGTTTGGATTGGTGGTTTGGAGGTTGAGGGTTAGAACCAGGGGATGTTAGTGCAGTTCATCCGGGGTAGCACATCAGGAACCGCCCCCTTTGGGATAGGTGTTAAAGCAATGCAGGAAAGAGCCGACGTCACCATCGAGCCAACGGTTCAGCACGAATCAACAGTTCAGCTCTGATTTCCTCGGTCGAGGAATCATTCGGTCAAAAAGAGTTCGAGCCTGGAGAGGGGGGATTTGTGGTTCTTTTGGCGTTCTTTTGGCCCGATTTTGCGCCATGGTCAAAAGACCGACTTGCTTTGGGGTCGGGGTTGGACCAATGATGTTTTTGTTTTCCTTGTTTTTTCTTCTTTTTCTTTTCTTTCTTTTTTTTCTTCTTTATTTTTTTCCGACAACCATTGCAAGGGTTCCTGGGAGCCCAGACGATTGCCCACAAGATTCCGAGTTTTGACGAACGTAATTTTGACCATGGCCCATGTCGGCGGGGGGTCAAAAATAGGTGCCCAAAATGGAACCCACCAAGGACTAAAACCGTCGGCTTTCTGGTGGTTTCATTTTGACCATGGCGCCCGTGCTTTTCAGCAAAGCCGGGGGCTCTACCGCTATTGGGTTGGATCTTTAGACTTTAACTTTTTGGATTCCCTTCATATTTCCTTTTAAGCAGCAAAAAGTCAACTTTTTGCTGGGGGATCTACAGCACCCAAGGGGGTAAGCCAGAGGTACTCTTCAGCATCATGTGGCCCCTGGTCACTGAGCTCGGTGATGGCCTCAGGGAGTCAGTCGATGCGATGCTGCCATGGACAATGGCGTTCAACGCTATTTCTAGGTCCCCCAGTAGTGCCCTTTTACCGTTTCTTTTTTGGGGGAGGGTTCCACTACTAAAATAGACTACAGAAAAAGGGTGCTCTTATTCTGACCGCTCTACTGGAGGACCTAGATTTGATATAGCTTTTGCGTAGACGAACCATGACACACTAATTGAAGATATGTTTTTCTGTTTGCCCCAGATGCGGCCAAGTCTTCCAGGGAGGGGACTTGCCGTCAACATTAAGTGCCAAACAGTCTTCCATAGTTTGTTTTCTTTTCTACCACCACTGGAGATTTGTCCTCAGATGTATTCCACAGTTGGAAAGGGAGGGAGGTTGTGAAAGCAAACTCCTTGATGGGGGATGCCCTCCGAACAGTACACTACTGTGGATGGACGAAATCCAGAGCCGCTTTTAATGAAGCCATGGGAAGCCATTGGTATTTACAGGGGAATCGGATCATCCCAAGGTTTCTTAGGTGGCGCAGGATTTCGTCCATCCGCAGTATCTGTCAAGGGTTTCCTGGTCATGTTCGAATCCATCGTTCTCTTGGTTCGTGAATAGCAACTTACCAGCCCGACCCATGCTGACGGACCTTTTCTTGGAGGATCCCGATGCACATGACAAGTAGATAAACACATAGTACATGCATACATAAAATACATGCATGAATGCATTAATAAAGTAACACATGCACCCAAACGCATATAAATAGATATCAACGTTTCTTCAAACATCTCATTCGGAGTAGACTCAATCAGAGCCCAGCTTGTTTGAGCTGTCAGTCGGGCTGTTAACCGTCAGTGCAAAATCCACATTTCGGAGCAGTGCAAAACCTACGGTTCAGAGCAGTGCAAAACACATGTTTCGGAGCAAGGGGTTGTTCTTTTTCAGTTGCGCGCCGGCAGCCGTTGCGTTTGTCGGATCCATGCCTGGCCAATGGTAAGAACTCCTGCTCCGCACTGTATCCATGCCAGCGGCACTGTATCCATGCCAGCCCTATGGGAAGCACACCCGCTCACGCGCTCAGCACTGAATCCAGGCCAGCCAAATCATAAGCACACCCGGCTCACGGGCTCCCGCTGAGCACTGTATCCATGCCAGCCAACTGCCGAGCGCACCCGCTCACGCGCACATGCCAGCCACATGGTCCAATGGTGAGCACACCCACTCACGCGCACCCGCTCAGCGCTGTATCCATGCCAGCCAAATGGCAAGAACACCCGCTCACGAGCGCCCGCTCAGCACACTGAAGCCATGCCAGCCAAATGATAAGCACACCCACTCACGGGCACTCGCTCAACACTGTATCCATGCCAGCCGCATGGTAAGCACACCCGCTCACGCACACCCGCTCAGCGCTGCATCCATGCCAGCCAAATGAAGAACACCCGCTCAGGCGCGCCCGCTCAGCACACTGCTTCCATGCCAGCCAACTGATAAGGCACTCGCGCTCCACTGTATCCATGCCAGCCAAATGGTAAGCATACCCTTTTCAGCCACCGGCGCATACCCTTTTCCAGATCTCATTACGACGTGCTCAAAACACTGTTGCGAGCCATGGGCATGCGCAGGTTGATCCCTTGAAGTAACACAGATTGAAGTGACCCCTCCAGGCTCTAGCAAAAAAGGTACCCTTTTCGCAGCCGAAGTGCTGCGCCTGCTAAGAACACGGACCCCCAAAAAACATGTGTTTTTAAGTGTGTTTTGGGGATAAAAACAAGAGGAAGCACTGAGCGAAACACAGATTTGGTCCAAAAAAGCCCGACGGTTTCCAGCCCGGCGGCTTGTTTGACGTTGGATGCTTGGTTCCGTCTGGGAGATGTTCAACAGTCTGGATGCTGGCTTCCGCTATCGCCAAACCACCACCGCTTGGAGAATACCAATATACGGGCGTGCGCTATTTTTTGAGGGTGCCCGTTTCAACTGTCATTTCCGGGTTCCCACCCATATATATATATATACACACTTCTATACTACATTTATACACATACCATTATTGCATTTCATTTTGTTACATTTCATGACATTGCAATACATTACGTTACATTGCAGTACATTACATTGCAGTGCATTGCATTTTCCAAAGCACATACACACATATATACATTACATTACGTTACGTTACGTTACGTTACGTTACGTTACATTACATACATACTTACTTACATTTCAATACATTACAGTACATTACATTACATTACATTACATTGCATTACCTTACACTACATTACATTACATTACATTACATTGCCTTGCATTACATTACATTACATTACATTACGTTACATACATACATACATACATACTTACATACATACCTAGATATCTACATTCCTACAAGCCTACATGCATACTTACGCACATACGGTGTATATATATATATATATCATACTTACATTACGTACATATGTACAGACGTACTCATGTACATACAGACAGACAGACAGACAGCCAGACAGACAGACAGAAAGACAAACAGGCAGAAAGACAGACAGACAGGCAGGCAGACAGACAGACAGACAGACAGACAGAGAAAGAGACAGAGGCAGAGAAAGAGGCAGAGAAAGAGACACAGACAGAGACAGAGACAGAGACGACACAGACACAGACAGAGACAGAGACAGAGACAGAGACAGAGACAGAGACAGAGACAGAGACAGAGACAGAGACAGAGACAGAGACAGGGACAGACAGGCAGGCAAACAAACAGACAGACAGACTGACAGACAGACACACACACAGATACACATATGCACACATACATACATAGATACATAAACTCATACACCTCACACACACACACATGCATGCATGCATAATCCGCATATACGGGTTTTGCGCTTGTGCCATGTGCCATTTTCCAACCGAGTTGGACAGGGCTGCGCCAAGCGTCTTGGATTGTTGGGGGGATTCCCCAAACGCGGAATTTTCGCAGCCCGAACTGATTCGTGATTCAAGAAGGTGTCTCTGTGAGACTCAAGAGGGGGCAATCCTTTTCGCAAAAAAATCGGAGAACTCAAAGGAGGTTGGGACAATCTACACAACCCTCTTGAGTCCCGAGATCCAGGTCCTACTGCGGATGGACAAAATCCCGCACCACCTAAGAAACCCTGGAATGAATGATTCCCCTGTAAATGCCAACGAGCAATGGCTTCCCATGTTTTCAAAGTGGTGCGAACGGATTTCGTCCATCCACAGGACCTGTTTCTTGGGACTCAAGACCTAGGTCCTAAGACGGGCAGTGAGGCAACCCGCGAAACTTCGCTTGCGGCCTTTGCCCGAGGCGAAGAAAACCTGGGCAGCGTCTTTGCCTCTCGACCGCAGCTGGAGACACGGGCAAAACCCGCCAGGCTTTTGAGGAAATTTAGTCATGGGAGTAAACTGCTGTTTATTTTGCCCCTTGTGACCCCAGGAGAAAGGACCCCCCCTGCAAGTTTGAGACGAACTTTTTTTTTATAAAGGTCTGTCTATTTGTTGGGTACCCTGATTTTGTTTGTGGTTTCAAAAGAAAACCAAAAGGATAAACACCATTTTGGGGGTCGGCCAAAAACAGACGCGCCCAGAAGGCCTTGAACGAGCACGTTCCTAAATAGAAGGACTAGGATGTTGATGTTTCTAGCGCCCGTTGTTCCCCAGCTGAAAGCTTTTCAGGTACCCTGCAAAGGTGGTTTGGATTGGGTATTTGAAATTCAGTTCTTGAAGCCAAGTGGGCCAATTTTCCTAATATCCACCACACCAATTTAGGTAAAATGGCTAAGCGGCGAGGCCTTTGTTTGGCCCCTTCGGGGCCCGGCGCTGGCCAGAGCACGCACGTAAGCGGTCTCTGTTCGCTTTGGCCGGCCATCGGCCATGTTTCCAGTCAGAAGCTTCCGCTTGAAGTGAACAGTGCTAGATGGGCTCAGGGCTCGTGGCGTTTGTGCTGAGGCCTCCTCAAAGTGTTTTTTCTTCCTTTTTTTTAAAAGGGCAATCAACGGCTGTGAGGCGGAGAAGACCGCGAGAGGTTCCATGAACCCACAGTTCAGCTTTCCAACATGAATATGCACCCAGAGCCGAACCAAACCTCCTACGGCGAAGCTGAAACGGGTTGGGCTGTGGGCTTTCCTTGGCGCCAAGGACAACATCGTCTTTCCCTTCGTGGTCTATTGGGCAGCAGGGCTGCAAGCAAACCGCGAGCAAACTGGCGTTTGCAAACTATAGTTTGGTGGCTGGCTTTCCAGCATTTCCAGCATTTGTTGGTTCAATCAACTGTACTGATGAGCGAAATTCTGCACCGTTCAGAAACCCTGGAACGAGTCGATTCCCCAACGGCAAAGACACCAAGAAACCTCATGGATACGTGGATTTCGGACCTCGTCGGTGTGGAAACCCCGGGCCTTGTGGGAATTCTCGTCGGTTTTTTTTTGTTTGGTCTCCGACTTCACCAGGCTTACGGGCGTTTCTTTTTTGCAAGGACCGCTTCGGGTTGGGTGAAGTGTAAGGGGATGTGCTTTTCGTTTTGGCTTGAAATCTCTCGGTGGCTCGAAAAATCGGAGTCGCGGTTGCAGGGGTCCTGAGTGTCCCCGTCACCTGGTTTTTGTGTTGGCTCTGAATATCATGTGTCCCAAGTTCAAGGGGACTCCCTCGTGAAGCAGAGAGTACCAGCACCTCCCTTGAAACGCCACACGCGCTTGGCCTTCCATCACCTCCAAGGGAAAACGAAGGTTCGGGGTACAGACTTTGCTGGTACAGTTGGGTTACAGCACTTCATCCATCCCAGGATTTTGATCTGAATCTCCATCAGGGTATGGGTTAGAATTCGACCACCAGGAATCGGACCTCAATTTTTAGTCCTTTCCATTTGCCAGGGCAAGCCATTTCGGGGCTATTTTCCCACCAAACAGCCGGAACCCGACCTTCGGCGGCGTTCTTTTTGCTTAAAGGAAATGGGTCTTCCACGAGGCGAAAATCGGCGGGAGGGTCACCTCAAATCGGTTTGGATCGGATTTGGATTTGGATTTGAATCCAAAGGAACATGGGCAAAAACCAGGACCCTTGTAAAGGACAGGTGTTTTCCTTGCTCAAAGGGGCAGGGTTCCTAGTGGTTGGTAAGCCTGGTTTTCACCCACTTGTGAAACTTATAAAAATGGCAAGTGGGTTATAACCAGGCTTACTAGCCCTTGCTAGGCACCCTGCACCTTCAAGTGCCAATTGCTGGGAGGGTTCCTATTTTTGCCCCACCCCTATCTCGGGGTTTTGGTTCCTCGGATGAAGGCCATGCTTGGCCTGGAGAGGCCCGCTCCCGGGGTGGGATTTGCGGGTTTGGGAAATGGGGCGGACCCGGCTTGTTTTGGTTGAACCCACGCCCTGAGTTCCGTTTCGAGCTTTAGTCATTTTTTTTCTTCGGTTGGACCATTTTAGTTGAACAGATTAGACTTGTTCTTTTACAAACCACTCAGGACGCCAAAGCAAACATCATCATTTTTTTGAGGGGCGATTTTGAGAAGCCGTAAAATGGATGTGTCTTTGTTGGGGGACCCTCCAAAACGGTTGGTTGGTTCCCAGTCAGTTTCTCTTTAAAGCCAACTAACAAGTGTACCCTCAACAAAAGACACACCCAACGGGTTTCGTCCATTGAGGGAACCCTGGCAGAACCCTTTGGTTTCCCTTCTAAACAACCACAAAACAGGTGTCTCCAAAACAGGCAGCCCCAAGTGGGCAAGGGCTCGGCTCTTTTTGGGCGAGGGGGAAATCAAAGGAAGCCTGGGTGTTTGAGAAACGATGGTTGGAAACAACCCATTTTAGGGGTACCCGTATTTTCAGGTTGGTCTCTTCTTGCAAAAAGGGTGAGGTAACCCGGCTAAATCAAAGAGCACTTCCGAGGAGCAGGATTGCTCGATTGGAGCCGTTCACCAAGATGACATCTGGCTTCAAACGATTCCGCCGTTTCGGGGGAAGAACGAGCGAAGAAAAACAAGAACAACATGCAAATACCAACAAAAACCAACCTATGATGTATCTCCTTTTTCTCGGAGATCCAATGGTTTTGGACTACAAATAGCGCAGACGATATCAAAAGCAGTAGGGCAGAGCACTGCGCCGGGACCCAATAACGATGTTTTGTGGACGGGCCATGTGCGATGTCAAAACGGGGGACATGCGCCAACTTTTGCTTCCGTGTTTGTTGTGGTCAGTTGGAAATGGGGTTTCTGCCAAGTTGTGTGGATCCTGTTTGGAGAAGCTGACCGGCGGAAGTTGGAGTCGAGTCTCCGGGCAAAAGGTCCCTTTCTTGAGGACTCCAAAGTCAGGTTGGACATAATAACAAGTGACTGTGCAGATTCCCAAGGTGAATTGTTGGTGTGATTCCTCTTAACCAAGGGAGCAGCCCCTTTAGTTCTGAACTGATGGCTGACGATCTTCTATCCCTGAGTTTTGCTGGGTGGAGATTCAGTTGGCGGTGATGCAGGGTATGATGAATATTCCTACCCCCCCAAATGACCCCAAAAAAGTGGTGAAAGTCTTTCCCTCATCAGGTAGACTGGAGCTTTGGATTACTCCCCGTGTGTCATCTAGGCTTTTTTCGCCAAGAAACGGTGCACATGGATAGCTTTTCCCATTTAGTGAAAGTCACATCTTCGGATCAACTCCCGTATGTCATCAAACGGCTCTTTTTTCCCCAAGAAACCATCACCCCAGGTAGACCGGAGCTTTGGATCACCCCGCTTTTCGTGTGTCATCTAGGCGTTTTTTCTCCAAGAACCCCCGCTTTTCGTGTGTCATCGAGGCGTTTTTCTCCTGAAGAAACGCAGGCTGGCGGAGATGATGGAGAACCCGGTTGGGGACGATGACACGGACATCAACCTCTACCAGCAGCTCCATCAGCTCGAGGCTCGAGACCGCCGGCAGCTCGGTGGGTGTTTCCCGAATTTTTTGGGTTGGACCCCCCAAAAGCGGTCGGGTTTCCTGTTGGTTTTCCTTTAAAACCACTCCAAAAGGACACCCCCCCAGGTGTCTTGGGTTTGGCATCTGCAGAGCAGAAGGATTTCCAAAAATCGGATCCACTTCCAGATGAATCTCCTTGGAAAGAGGCCTTGATGGGGTTACAGGGCCCTCATAAACCTTTGTGAGCATAGGACTAACCCAAAGTCAATGGGTTTCGAGCGCTTAGTTGGGCGTCCCTTTGTGAGACACATTCGGACACATTTTGTTTGGCTCATGTCGCCTTTTGGAAGCAATCCTAGGGACGTCAACACCACGTTAGCGCAAAACACAGAAAGAGGTTTAGAGGACATGGCTCTCCCAGGAACCTTGTTGATTCATGTTGACTTCGGCCTGATCAACCTGTAGATTGGGCGGGCGGTAAAAAATGGCTAGCACTTCCTGCTGAGTCGGGCAAAAACTGCTGGCTGACCCTTTCCAACAGAGTGCCACAGCTACACCCTTCACATAGCCCGGGAATCCCATAAAGACGCCTCCCCTGCATGCCAGTCTGTTTTGACGAAGCTGAGACAGATTTACAGTCCTTTTACCACATTTCGTTACAGGATACACTTTAGCCATACAATAAAAAAAACTTGGCCAGTTGTTTTAAAGGGTCTCCGACTGTACCAAGTGATTTTTAGTTGTATGGTTTTAAGGACCCTGTTTGATGCGTGCAGCATTCATGGCAACGAAGCCGCTTGCAATCAGCACAGAAGCCACTGCGTTGCGATCAGAACTGCTATCAGAACTGCTTCTTTGTGCAATCCGCTCATTGGTGACCCTTTCTTGACTCTCTTCCCAACGCAGTCTACAGACCAACCAACTCAGTGTGGAGCTGTTTTGGCTGAAATAAAGGTACAGGAACTCCCACGGGTCCGAAGAGTGTTGACCCCACATTGATAAACCTCTGATTAGACGGAGCATGTTCCGGAATACATTAATCGGGATCTCCTTTGCGGGTTCCCCCATCCCCCCCCGGGTTTCCATTCACGTCCATCATGTTCCCCATGATAAAACTCTGAACCAAGTACGGGGGTGGGGTGGGGCAAAGTCTCCAGTGGCCGCATTGCCCCATCATTGTGAGCAATCATTGGTATCATTTGATTTTACACATAAATATGTATAATGAAAGATGATCACAGAAGTTATTCGCGATTATTTGCTGAGATTCCCCATCATCGACCTCCACAAACACGGAGCTCGCCTTTGGGGGGGTTGTTGCAGAAAAATGGTCCAAACCAGGAGCCTTTGAGATTCCCTCATGGGAGGGGAAAAGGAAAATCCAAGAGCGGCAACTATGAGAGACTCCGCTTCAACGCTCTCAACGTGTAACATCTCAGCCCCCTAAAGATGAACCAAGAGAATCTCCAAAGTCCCAGGTTAAGGGTTGACCTTGACTGGGGGGGAACATGGTTGGTGAACTCCCCCCCCCCAATATTTTTTTCCCCACCAGATTCTGAACCACCGGATTTTGGAGGGTCTTGATGGCCTGGGATTGACTCGTGACTCCATCCACCGAACCTCCACGCCTCTCGCGCCATGGATGGACGCCGTGTCCGCGACGCGGCAGCTGAGCGCCTGGGCGCGGCAGCGGCGCTGGGAAGCGGCCGCGGAGCTGCTCGGGGCGTGGCACGCGCGAAGCCTGGAGCGGAGATGAGAGGTTCCCAAGGGTTTGGTTAATGGGTTTTCTACGCTTTTTGGGTTTTGTATGGGAAGCTATTGGGTTTCCCCAACGGAAGGAAGCTATTGGGGTTTTCTACGCTTTTTTGTAAATCTGTTAGGTTTCTGCGGGTTTCTGGTTGGGTTTCCAACTTTTTGCAGGAATGACCCTCAAAGAAACACTTTTTGGTCACTACTTCATCCAGAATTCGTTCGGATACCCAGGTTGGCTTTTGCTTTGGGGTCTTTCTGTCAAGAATTCTTTGGGCCTTTTGCTCTTGGGCAACTCGACCATTTGCTTTGGAACTATTTGGAAAACCGGTGCTGCTCCCGATGTTGCGGGCAACAAGGTGTTTGCTCTTTCGGCTTGACCAAATCCATGGTGACCCCAACAAGAATTCCGCCCAAATCTCACGGGGTTCGGGCAACAATTATGCCGAGTGGGCAACAAGCTCACCAATGAAAGTTCCTGTTTGGGGATTCCTTCTTTCCTTGGTGAATAGCGATTTATCCAGACACTAGGCAGGTTGTTGGTGTTGTTACCCCACGTTCTTTGATAGAAGGGGGGGGGCATTTTATGGCTTGTTCGCTGTTGGTTTCCCTCTACTCCATCCAAAGAGGGGCCCAGTACGGTGCATCGTTTTTAGAGCCCTCCCGCACCGAACGCCCCCAGGAGCCCAACCTCATCCACCACAACGCTGCCGGAGCTGCTTTGGGTCGATGGGTGCAGGCTTCCGGCAATTGGAAAAGCGTGGAACAGCCGTGGACGAGTTGGCCAAAGAAACAAGTAGCCTTTCCACCAGACCGAAAGGACCATTTTTTGTGAGGGGGAATGCTCCGGATGATGCAAGAATCCCTGCAAGGGTTGTTTGAACATGTGGTGCTGGTTTGGTGAGGGTGCCAGTGTTGTGTTTTTAGAAAGCAGCTCAAAAGGACAGCCTTTTGAGAGATTCCAAGAGACGCCAACGGAGACATAGTATATTTATTATATGTGCCCTTGAGAGTTGCCACCACCTTGTCACATGTGCAACAGCAGAAAAGCATAGAAACTACCATGGATTCGTTATTGGTTTTGGAGGCCCTCATTCTCCTCTTCCCTCCCCCCCCAAAAAATAAAGCACACACAAAGGGGTGACGGGCTGCATGGCCCACAAACGTGAGGACAAAAGCGCAGCCTGCCCGTGTCTCTCCAGAAGCTGCCTGTTTCACTCTGTTCAAGAGCATATTGAACCATGCCCAGAGCTGAGCGGGTGCACGGTGCACTAGACGACCGGCGGTGGCTGTCGGGATCATTGTCTTGGGACTGGAAAACAGATTGCGTACCTCCGTATATTAAGTAGTTTGAAAGCCAGTCCAACAGATGTTGCTTTCAATCACTTTGACGCGCCAGGCGCTGGGGTTGTGGGGCCTTCTTGCGCAGCGAAATCTGCGGAAGGACGTGGTTGCGCTGAACACCGCGCTTGCAGCGTGCGCGTGCCAGGCGCGGGTCATTTTGGGGTGGGGGAGGGAACGGGGGGTTGGTGGGGGTTTGGGTCGGCTTTCTCTACCCCTGTTCACGAAAGCGAGCGACTCCATGGAGGTTTCTTAGGAATTCCTTATTTGCAGTTTGAGAGTTATAGTAAATTGCCAAGTTTCATGGAGCGCAAAATGGGGGGAGTGAAACTGCAGCTGGCTTTCAGGGAAGAGCAAATGAGCAGGAAAAGCCCGCTTTCCACAAAACAGCAAGCAACTGAAAACACGGAGTTTGCCAAGCACCACTCAGCTCAATTTGAGACAAACTCAGACCCCTGATGACGCTTCTCCTGTTTCTGCTTGTCGAGTCTATGCAAAGTAGCATCCACCAAGATGTGAATCTTTCCGAGCAACCTCTTTTGCACGTGCAGGCGTGGGTTGTGTGTGTGTGTGTGTGACTCTAAAGCAAATTTGTTTCTGGCGGGGGGGTCTCTTTCTCTTTGGGTTTCGGGGTGGGGAAACCTTCCAGGGCGCCTGGGCGGTCTGCGGGGCCTTGCTGTCGCTGGCCTGGGGCGCCGCTCTGCGCGCGGACGCCGTCAGCTTCAACTCCGCCGCCGCCGCCGCGGCGGAGACGAAGACTTGGCGCTGGGCGCTGCGCTGGGCGGGGGAAAGGCGCGGCACAGCGCCTTGGAACGAGGAGGGATCGATCTGATTGCCCCCTTTTTGGAGGCACAGCATGTGCGCACCATATTTTTCTTGTTTTTTTTTGTTGGGAATTTTGTTTTTAGGACGGTCATTTGGTGCCGTCTTTGGGGTGGTTGTTGCTCAAGGTGTTGCTTAAGGGTATATAAACGGATACGAACTCCCATACTCAGCGGCAACAGGTGTAGGTGGGTATTTTGTCCAGGGTTCTCGTACTCTTGCCTCTTCAAGCAGGGTTTGCTTCAGGGTTCCTACTGACATGGAGAACCCCGTTCTGAGTGGTTGTTTAGGGACACCGAAAAAAACATCCATATTTCTACTGGTGGCAATCGTAAGCGAGTCTCCTCTTGACGTGATGAAGAGGGAACATATCGGGAGACCTAGTCAAAGGTCACCAGGTCGGTTCACACGATGCTTACGGGCTCGCCTTGCAGGCTTGGGGCTTCTTTTGTTCAAGCGTCATTAGGGAAACTAACTGTCGGGCATAGATGTGGATGTCCAGCCTCTCGATTTTCCTACGGGTTTTAGTAGACCGCTTCAGGTGTCCATTGTGACATGTGAGATCGGGTTTGCTTTTTGTCGCAAAGGTTTCGTAACACGCCCAGTGGAATCCAGGCAATGACGACCTTCAGCTTCTCCGCTGCCTTGAGCGCCCTGAGCGCCGCGGAGACCGGCTCTGGCCTCGCGGCGACCGGCTCCGGTCTTGCGGAGACTGCCTGGCGCCAATGCGCGCGCCTGTTGGACCTGCTACGACACGTCAGGCAGTCCGCCGCTTCCGTGCACTGACGCTTGCCTTAATCATTGAACCGACTTCCCTGGAAACAACTGCCAGAGGGGCATTTTGTTGTTGAGTCATTCGAAAAGGGCGAACATGCATCGTTCCCAGCTGAAAGCAGGATCCTTCAAAATTTCGTTTGTGGGTTCCATTTGGGGTGGTTCCCCCAAAAGGATCTCCACTGAGCAACCCTGAATTCCATGTGAATCAAATAACCTGTGCCAAATGAAACAAATGTGATCAAACAGCACGAACCAGACAGCATGAACAACCAGCTTGCTGTTGTTGAAAGGGGAACTATAGGGAACACTGTATGTTA